TTTGTCGGTAGCGTAGCGAGCGTCGTAGGCCTGTTTGTCGGTAGCGTAGCGAGCATCGTAGGCCCGTTTGTCGGTAGCGTAGCGAGCGTCGTAGGCCCGTTTGTCGGTAGCGTAGGCCTTCGACGAACAGGGTAGGGTCGAAAGAACCGTTGCCACGGTAGGGCTTTCCCGCCCTCCACTCGCCTGCAACGGGCGGCGACGGCCTGGGCCTACCGGCTGGTCCTACAGATCGCGCGTCGATCCGGGCCGTTCGGCAGACCCGACGGTCCAGATGTTTGCTCGATCTTAAGATCGCGCGTCGATCCAGGCCGTTCGGCAAGCCCGACGGTCCGGATGTTCGCACGATCTTAAAGTCTTAAAGTCTTAAGATCGCGTGAACATCCGGTCCGTCGGCCCGAATGGCCCGGATGTCATATTTCTTCCTTTAGCGATTTTAATAGTGTAGGGATGGGCCCGGTACTAACTCGAATTTCCTACAGCTACCCTAACCGCAAATAGCAGACCCGGGCTACCCCTAGGATAGACAGGGCCAATGGGCCTACGCTGATAAACGGTCCTATAGCCTATAGCCGGGTAGGGAGAGGCCGTAGAGGCCGAAATAGAAACAGTACCGGTCGTTCAGTCAGTCCGGTCTAGGTCGTGTCGAGGCTAGTCTAGAGTATAGATAGGATGGGAGCATCGGTCCTGGGCTTTTGGCAGTTGACACTTTGTGGTGGAAGTTGTTGCGCACACGGTATCAGGTCGTGGTTGCTGATTCCAGTGTGGGAGACGGCGGACATAGCCAGACCTTCGGAGCGCTGACCAGACTGGGGTCAACGCTGTCCGCTCTGACTCTCTGGGAGTCAAAGCGGTCTGGGCTATCAGAGGTCTGATGCGTTGGAGCACGTGGTGCACTGCTGACCCTCCTCAGGAGTAGGATCCCAGTGGCAATGCAGCCAGAGCTGCATCTTCTCAAAGGATATCATCGTCTGGTCTTCATCTTCATCAGGGACTGTTGGCGCTGAGCTTCTTCTTCATCATCTGGGTGGCGATTGGCTTTGGGAGCCTGTTTCATCTTGGCGCAGGCCACTGAGTTGGATGTCAGGGTGGCGCTGGGTGTTACCTGGGGTTCTGGTGCTATTTTTAGCTGCTCGGTGTGTGTGAGGTTGAGGCGCTACCTCTCTGAAGGTAGCACAACAGGGTTCTGAGATTTTTCAGGGAAAACAATGCTCTGAGTTTAATAAACAGTGGTAATACTGTGTTTGAGTTGTCATCTCTTCATTGATTACTGGCTGTGATCACTCGGTTGTCTTCTATGAATGATTGTTGGGACCTGTGTGGAGAGAATCCACAGTTCTGTGTGTTCTGTCACTTCGCTCCTCTGAGTCTTCCGCTGCGTTCCTTTGGTTGGGCGTTGTGACAGTCCACTACCTCTCCCCTTCCTGCTGTGCATGTATGGGCGTGTACGGGAGTTCCTGTGAGTGAGCGTTGATAAAATTTCAACGGACAATCATGTTCATAACACAAGACAGCTGGCAATCGATGATAGCCATACATGGAAGAGTGAAAGAGAGAAAAGAGAGACAGAGCCAGACAGACAGACAGACAGACAGACAGACAGACACAGAGAGAGAGAAAGAGAAAGAGAGCGAGAGAGCGAGAGACAGACAGACAGAAGAGAGAGAGAGAGAGAGAGAGAGAGAGAGAGAGAGAGAGAGAGAGAGAGAGAGAGAGAACACTACGATAGCTGGGATAATGGGCAATCAATGATGCAGGCCAGTCGAGTAGCCATGACAAATAAAATAAAATGGAATGGGGGTGCAATCACAGGTGAGACGTCCACTACCATTCAAAGCGTTCGTCTGTTGACACAGCTAAGCCACAAATATGAAACAGGAGGGGCAGGGCAGCAAGGAAAAAAAAAGGGGAAAAGGAAGAAGAAATGGAAGGAACTTCAAGCAAGTGATAGCAATGCACACTGAAACTTGCTGCTTCCTCTTTTTAAAACAATACAAAGCACATATACAATATATAGATATATATACTCAGCCTCCCGATGAGTCTGTGAAACTCCGACGAAACAGTTTGTCACGGCCCCTCGTTTGTTGTCCTCTTCTCCCTCTCTGCCTACGGTTTACCGGGCAGCTCTGTTTGACAATATATATTGTGGCTGTGATCTGCTATGGAAAATCTAAACAAGGAAGAGGATTTAATCAGGAATGCAAAATTGTATTGAGAAAGGAACTAATTGAATCAACAATGAAGTCACATTAAAATTAAAATTAAAATTAAAATTCAAATTCAAATTCAAATTGCTGAACTTGAGATCACAAAAGGGAGTAAATCAAACAAAAAAGTAAATTTCAAATTCAAATTCAAATTCAAATCCGAATGACTGAACTCGATATTACAATATGTTGTGCCCTCATTCAGCCCAAGCAAACAACGCCAAAGAGAGCAGCATGCACCATAGTCGGAAGTTGGCAATCTACAATTCCTTCGAATCCTTTCTCAAATTTGAAAATCCAAGTGTTCTTCTCTCGACTTTGGAGAGCAAACAGGGAAAAAAAAAACAACTAGATTACATGAAAAAAAAGAGGAGTCTCATTGAGGGGCCGAGGGGCACGCAGGGTGTGTGGGGGGGGGGGGGAAGGCGGGGAGGCGAAGAAGGGGAACAACAGGGGAAGTCGAACACACACACACACATATATAGATATAGATATATAGATGTAGATATAGATATAGATATATATCGGGAAACAGAACTGGCCAGTAAAAGATAGAGAGATAGAGAGAAGAGGACAACAAACGAGGGGCTGTGACCGACTGTTTACATAGCTGTATATATAGAACAAGGGATGGTAAAACATTAAAGAAGATTGGACATAATTACGTTTCTCAGTTTGTTTGTCTTTTTGTCAAGAAAGAAAGAACAAGAACGAAAGAGAAAGAAAGAAAGAAAGAAAGAAAGAAAGATAAAGAGAAAGAGAGAGAGAGAAAGAGAGAGGAATCAAAAACCTTACCTTGATATCTGCAGGAAGGATATTGAAGCAGCCTCCACCTCCTCGTCCTCCCTCTCTTGCGATTCTCCATATCTGATGATCGCTGTGTCTTCCAGTTTGCTCAAGTCCTTTCCCAGAGCCTCCACCTCCTTCTCTCCATAGCCAGTGAGTGCAGACGGCGCCCGACACGTGTCTACGACCGCACGTTTACTGCTCACCACCTCCTCCTCCCGCACTTTTCTCCTTTCCCTTTCGCATGCCTGTTCGCTGCCATGCCTAGGGCTCAGATCCAGGTGCTCTTCGATTGATGGTGTTCGTCTTCTGGCATTACCATCCATACTAGCCTTCCTATCTTCGTAGCGGCAGCGGCTGCTGCTCTCATCAATCACCCTCACCGCAATTAGCGAGCAACTACCAGTCTCCACCTTCTTCCTCACAGCACGATCATCATTCCCCTTTTCCTCTTCCTGGTGTGCCTGGTTCTTCCCCATCTTCTCCACGAAAAGACCTCCCCGCCCAATGTATTGTCGAGGAGAGGCCACGTGTGCTTTCTTCTCCTCCTCCTCCTCCTCCTTTTCGTCCTCCTTCCTCCGGGAGGCTATTTGTTCTAACAGATCTGCCTGCACCCACTTCTCCCCTCCCTCCTCCTCCCCAACCTCCTCCTCCTGCTCCCTAGCTGCGCACTGCGTCTTCCTATCTACCTGCTTCAAGGATTCACCCTCACGATGGTCCCCCTCTACCCTCTCCTTACCCTCCGCGTTTGCCACGTGTCCACGACGCTTATCCGTTCCATTGGCACTCCTAAAACCCTCCCTCTTCTCCACCCTACGCGCCTCTTCCTCCTCCTTCCTGTCCTTTGCACGATGATCAGCACCGTCTACCGCCGCACGATCATCTCCATCATCAAGCGCAGTATCTTTCCCGCCATTTCCATCTTCGTCAATCTCCAGACAAGCACGTACGGAAGGGTTATCCCTATCACCTTCCTCATTGGTATCTGTATCCATGGGAGAAGCACCGAACACTCTTTGATCTAACTCCGTCTTCTTCGCTGCAGATCCGTCTCCCTGCTGTTTCCCCTCCTGATCGCCTCCATAGCGCCCTTCCACTCCTTCCCAGCTGTTGAATCTCCTGCGCACATCCCCCACTCTCACCCCCTCCCCCTCCTCCTCCGCCTGCATCTCTTCCTCTCTCTTACCCTCCACACTCCCACCGCTCCCATTGGCTGCATCCTCCGTGTTGTCGTCATTCAATCTCACCGACATCTTTCCCGCCACTTTGCTCGCCTCCGCCTCCTGCTCCATGCTGCCTGCCATTCCTCCACCCCCTTCTTTCCCCTCTGACTTTCCTCCTCCTCTTCTTTCTCCCTCTTCGCGCTCAGCTTCGTCAGCAGACTCGTCGACGACAGTGACACCATCGGCTCGCTCAATATCACCGACGGTCGTTTCCATCCGTTCGATGCACGTCGGCTTTTCGATCCCCGCCGCGACCCCGATTCCGGTCTCACCTATCCTACTATCATCATCATCATCATCATCATCATCATCATCCAACCTGGCGGCAATCGTCGTTCCCCGACGGATTACCAGAAGAGCCTGATGCTCGGAGCCACCACCTAGTTCAGACTTGACAACATCTCCCGACGGTGTTGCTGATGTGGCAACAGAAGGCGCGGCTGACGTGGCCAACGGAAAAGCTCCCGCGTTGTTGTCGAGATAGCCCGACTGCAACACCGGTGCGTCAAAGGTCACAGAACGTGGTGGTCCTGACGTGCTCTTGACTGGGGCCACTGCTGACGTGGCAGCAGGTGCTAGCGATTGTGCTGACGTGGCGATACATGCTGACGCTGACATGGCACCAAGAGGCACCGCCGCTGACGTGGCACCAAGAGGCGCTGACGTTGACGTGGCACCAAGAGGCGCTGACGCTGACGTGGCATCAAGAGGCGTTGATGCTGACGTTGCAACACGGCCCAAGAATGAAGTGGAAACGACAAGTGCTGGTGATGACGTGGCGACAGCTGGAGGTGATGCCTCGTCGCGAGAGACCGCAACAGACGGGGTTAGAGAAGGCGCGGCTGCTTCTGATAACGTGGCAACGGTAGGTGCAGCTGCTGATGACATGGCAGCAGCAGGCGCAGCAACAGAAGGTGCCGTTGCTGTTGCAGCTGATGATAATGAAGTGGCACCAGCAGGCGCAGCTGATGAAGATGTATTTCTTGTAGCGACAGAAGCGAGGGCTGCAGATCTGGCGTCCGTGGAGGAAGCTGGAGGGGCACTGAGTTGACAAGCTAGGTCGAACCTAAGGGGAGGCAAGGGCGACTGCATGCCCAAGCAGATAGACGGCTTGATCTTGGACTTGTTAGCATTTGCCGCCAAAGCAAATCCTGTCCGTACATCCGTCTTCTTGAGGGATGTCGAGTCCGAAAGCGAGGAGGAGGGGGTTCTCTCACCCTTGCACTCCTCAGGCGCTCTCAATAGGGGTGTACCGGGCGACGATGCAGCCGCCGCCGCCATCGCTGTCCCTCCCCCGCTCGATAGCAGCAACAAACCGTCCATGTCGGCGGAGAGAGGACTCCGAAGAAGCTGATGGCTTTTGGGCGTCGTCTTCGAAGTTAACAACGAGTCTCCGAGGCTTCCGAAGCTGCGCCCTCTTCGCCGCTTGCTCTTCTTGTTCTTCTCCGTCGTCGCGGTCATCTGCGACGTTGGGATCGGGGTCGGGGTCCCGGTCGGCGCCGGGGCCGCAAGTGCAGAATCGCCGGCGGCGAGTGATGCAGTGGGAAGAGGAGGAGGAGGGCGGCGGCAGCGGCGGCGCACTACTGCGCCTCCGCGGCCTTCGCCCTTCTTCCTTCCAGCGTGTCCGCAGACGAGACACGTGTATGCCACGTCATTGCACTTCTTCGCCTTCTTTGTCGTCTTCTTCTTCTTGCTCTTGTTCTTGTTCTCTTTCTTGATGGCTGCAGGAACCAACCTCTGCTTCACCATGTGATTACGCGGGAGATTACCGCCCCCGGCCTCTGTCGTCTCCATTGCTCCTCCTACACCTCCGCCTCCTTTCTCATTCTCCACCGCTGTCGTTCTCGAATCCGAGGGAGCAGAGTTCCCGCCGCCGTCGCCGCCGTCGTTATCGCCGCCGCCTGTCTCCCTCCCCACTTCCCCTCCTTTCCCCCCTCCTCCTTCCCCTCCTCCACTCCTCCTCCCGTCTCTTGCGTCTTCTTCTTTAGCACTCGGGATTTTCCGAGATTGCCGCCGTCGACAGCGCACCTTCAGGCGCGGATTAAAAATTCGCACTTTGCAATTCCGCTGGGGGAGCAGAAGCGACTCGCATCGGTCGCACGACCTCTCTTTGACGGAGGCAGGAATTTCCATGCCCCGATCTTCTGCCAAGTGTCGAAGACGGACGGCCAAGAACGATGAGACCGGTTGGGATACCGACGCCATCTCCTCGCTTGCACGAGCAAGAAATGCCAGTCGCAGATCCCATGCGGAGGGCTGTTTGCCCCCTCCTCCTCCTCCTCCTCCTCCCACTCCCCCGCCACTCGCACCACCACCAATACTACCAGCACTCTTCAGGTGCTCCAAGCCAGAATACATCAACGCCATATTGTTGCCACACCCCCCCCTCCCAACACAACAAAATCCCCGCCCAAAAAAACGGAAAAAAAAAAAAAACAGTCTCGTCTCTTCTGTCCTTCACAGAAGCAATCGCCTAATTATTATCGCTGTCTTGAAGTAGCCCCTTGCTCTCCTGGATTGATTGGTAGAATGGTGAGTGGGTGGCTTTTGATTGGTGCTTGGATCAACAGTTCAACTGACGAGACGGACGCACATCATCCGTAAGTGGCACCCCGATCACCTACCAGCACCCATCATCCGCCGTCCAGACCACCTACCTCTCCCCATTCTCTCTCGATCTTCCACCCAGATCAGCACCGCCCCCTTTGTTGCCTTTCGTCTTCCTTCACCGCCGCAGCTATGTCTGGGAGCGTCGAGTTGAGCCCTCACATCAGGCGATCATCGATCAGCTGAAAACGAGAACCAATCAAAATCTCTCCATTTACTCAAGAGAAGACAAGCCCTTGTCACCTTTTCCCTACCTCTCTCCCTCTCTCCCCTCCCTCCCYCCCCTCCCTCCCTCCCTCCCTCCCTCCCTCCCTCACATCCGGCGATCACCGATCAGCTGAAAACGAAAACCAATCAAAATCTCTCGATTAACTCAGAAAAGACAGGCCCTTGTCACTTTTTCCCTCCCTTCCTACCTACCTACCTCCCTCCCTCCCGCCCTCCCTCCCTCCCTCCCTCCCTCTCTCCCTCCTTTCTCCCCCCCTCTCCCTCCTTTCGCCCTCCCTCCCTCCCTCCCTCTCGTTCTTGTCCATTTATTAGAGCGCGTATCCTCACCTCCAAACCCGTTGATCGTTATCTTCAGCCCCATTGATCGTTATCTTCAAGCCTGTTGAGAAATGCCAAAAAAAGCATACCTGCCCAAGAAACATAATTACTCGTAAGTCCTTCGGGACATCCGTCAAAATTGGAACGATACAGAGAAGATTAGCATGGCCCCTGCGCAAGGATGACACGCATAAATCGAGAAACGGTCCAAAAAAATAATAATAATAATAATAACTCGTAATTTTTTTTCTTAATTTCGCAAGAGTCGCAGGTGCCAAAAAAAAAGAACAAAAACCCCGTTCTTAATTTCGCAAGAATCGAACCCGCAACAGAAGATAATTCTTTTTATTCATTTTCGCACGACTGCAGCGAGACTCGCCCATGACACAAGTGTTGCAGCGACAAACAATCAGCGATGGAGAAGACGTACAGAAGATGGAGAATACAGCCATGGAGGCAAAAGACCCGCAGAAAGAAGGACAGAAAGAGAGAGAAAGAAAGAGAGAGAAATTAGGAGAAACAAAAGGAGGGAGACAGAGAGAGAGAAAGAGAGAGAGAAAGAGAGAGAGAAAGAGAGAGATAGAGAAAGAGCGACAGAGAGAGAAAAAGAGCTGCGCTCAAAGACACAACGCCAAAAAGGCAGTTGCGATCGACATTCCTCTGTACAGATTCGCCGTCGTTTTCTTTCCCTGTTGTTTTTCGAAGCATTAGTGCATTCTTCACTGGTGCGGTGCATGCTTCTTTCTTTCTCGCTGTGATTTCTCAACTTCCACTTCTCCTTCATCCTACCTTTTGGCTTCTTCCTCACTCTTCCGACTCCGCCGCAGGCGCAGCCGCGGCTGGTCCCCTTGTTTTATTCATTTTCGCAAGAATCGCACCTGTCAAAAAAAGATAATTCTTTGTTTTATTCACTTTGCAAGAATCGCATGAAAGATTTGAGAGAAGAATATAGCTAGTTATAAAAAAATTAAAAAACGACATCGCAAGGATCCCACCTCCCAAAGTGTGAGGATTGAGCCCTCAAGAAGGGGCCTTGCCATGATGTACATGTTCTGGGCTAAGGCCCCACCAAGCCTCGTGCCCGCCCTAAGTGAAGGCGGGCCAGCAAATCAACAAGAGCCCTCTGAGCAAACATTTCACGAAGTGGGGTCCATACAGTTGCAGCACGCCAGTTGGTTGGAGTGCACCGAGTCTCGAATCTCTGCAAATGTGGAGAACCCAGGGCCTCTGAGTTAGTTAGGCCCTGGGCACTTGAACGTGAGGCCGACAATGCATGCTGGGTATAGAGGCCCAAAATGCCAAAAGGAAATCGGCCCCCTATCTGAATCTGGCCGCAGGCCTTGACGAAAGAGGCGCAACTGCAGCACCCGGGCCCCAACTGCATCGGGCCTGGGTTCAGGCACCTGGGCCCAGTCGCAGGCTGAAGGAAGGCCGCCCACCCGCAACACTGGCATATAGGCAAGCAGGGCGAGTGGGCAGGGATCTTGGCCATTGCGGGCAATGCCGGCACGCTGCACGAATGCGAGCTGCTGCGCTGCGCTGGGATGAGGTGCAAGGCAGGCAGGCGCTAGGCGGTAGGGCGCTGCCTGTGCACTGGGCGCTGGCGGCCATAGCCGGGCTGCATAGGGCGCAGGGGAGGTGAGGGCGAAGGTGGTTCTTCGGAGGTGAAGGGCGCTGTGTGGGTAACAAGGGAGAGTGTGGGTGACGAGGACACGTACCTGGTTGAGGTGGAGGTCGACATTGGGGTTGACATCATCACTCGTTGGTAGTCAAGTTGTTTGGTTGCTTCATTGCTGTAGTTGTAGGTTTAGGTTGTAGAGTAGATAGGGCGTCTGGCGCCATTCACAAGAGAGAGCTACATTGGGTTATGTTGTTGGTGTTGCCCTGTTGGGCTTGGACAATGACTCACGATTCTTCTGTATCATTCTCAAATGGATGGTTACTCAGTTCCATTGTGCTATCTGCTCTGGCTTTGACTACATGGACTTCAGTGTGATTTTGCAATCTGGATTTTTGTGCTTCGTCCATATTCATATTCCTTGGAAACGATTCATACTCCTTTTAATTAATTTTTGAAAAATCGCACCTGCCCAAAACACACCTAATTCTTAATCGCACCTACCAAAGAAAGCTAATTCTTTCCTTTCCCATTAAATAATTTTACTTTTTGTGTGTTTTTTTTTGTGTGGGCAACAATGGATCCCCGTTTAAGGAGAGTCTACTGTTCTTATGCCAGTTTGGCAGAATCGCATCTGCCAAAAAAAACTCATTCTTTTCATTCGTTTAACAAGAAATTAATTAATTTTTAATTTTGCAAGAATTGGTTAATTTTCAATTTCGCAAGAAACGCAATAAACATGTGCAAGGCAACAAAAGAGAGAGAGAGAAGACGCACATTTTCATACGACCACGTGTCATGACTCTATTTCTTGATGACGTAATAAATAATCATTGTTTGCATTACAATAATCACTGTTTGCATCATATTATATCTTTCATTGATTTCACGAATGCTTGATTCGCACCATCGCTCACCAAATGTGCAATTAAAAAATGAGAATGAATCTTCCGCTACAGCAGGGAAAGATACACCGCCATAATTTTTGTCTTTGGTGGCATGTGGTGAGTGGTGATGCGAGGTCGTTCCTCTCGAGTACATCATGTAATGTCCGTATTTCTTAATGACGTCACTCTGAATTCCGTGACGACGATGCCCTGTTATATATATATCGTATATATATCTCGTCACACCGCGTATCGAAGCACAAAGACGAAAAAAACAAAACAGAAAAAGGAAAGAAGGAATGAAAGCTTTGCATGTTCATCACCTCTTACATACAAGGCTGACCATATATATATATATATATATATATGAGTCGGTGAAACTCCGACGAAACAGTTTGTCACAGCCCCTCGTTTGTTGTCCTCTTCTCTCTCCCTCTGCCTACGGTTTACCGGGCAGTTCTGTTTGTGACGATATATATATATATAGCCGAAAAACAAATCGAGTCGCCGAAAAACAAATCGAATCACTGAACAAAAAATCGAATCAACAAAAAAGAAAAACAGTAAATTATATTTCAGCAGAAAAAAGGGTACATGGTTATTGGAACATCGTCGCAAGATCGACACTACATAAATTCGACAGAAATACAACAAAACAAAACAAAAAAATCAGATTGCAATAAAACCCAAACACTTACTAGAGTCATTTAGACAACAATAAAATAAAAAACTAACCAAACAACAATAAACAGAAAAATTAATTAGACCGATACAATACAAAAACTAGTTAGACAACAATAAAACAGAAAAACAAATTACGCAGCAATAAAAAACAAAAGACAAAAAAGTTAGGCTACAAGAGTGGTCCGAGACAACTTTTCTGGCCGAGCCAAAAAATAAAATAAAATATATATATCGTCAAATAGAGTTGCTCGGTAAACCGTAGTAGGCAGAGAGGGAGAAGAGGACAATAAACGAGGGACTGTGACAATCTGTTTTTTAACTATATTTTTTTTTGCAATTCGGTGAAGAATTTTGATGTGACCCTGAAACAAAAGTTGTTTAGTTTATTTTTTTGCATAGCATAGTTTTTTTTCATATTTTCATGAGTTTTTTTTTTCACTTTTTTTTTGTGGGACCCTCTTTGGCCCTTGCACGGATGGACCGCCCGGGCAAACAAGGTGACACGGGCGGCCCGGCTGGTAACCTAGCAAAAAAGCTAATTAGACAACAATAAAACAGAAAAGAACCTACGACAGGGAAAAATGTGACACGCAGCAGTCGAGAAATGGTCCCACACACATAGACGGCCCAGGTCACAGATGCCTGTGGGGATCCCGGCCTACACTTAGGGCATACTCACACCGCGACCCCAAATCCGCAATTTGGAAAGGGTCGATTTGAGGTTTTGGGCATGGTTCAAGTCACACTGCTGGGCCTTTTCAGATGGGACAAGGTCGTGGCCGTCTGGAGAAATGGGGATTTGGTATTTGGCTGGTCACACGGCGCCATCCACTGATTGTGCAAGAACTTTTGTGGACAAATTTTTGCCAATCTTCGAAGAAAAATGCAACAGATGAAAAATGGCATTTGCGGTTACCACGCCTTCAGAGGTTATCGCAAAATCCCTTGGCCCGCGGCTTCCCAGGCCGCTGACAAATGGAATAGTACATTTGCGAATTTGATAGATCCATGTGACCGACCTTTTACCCTTTTTTTTAGGATTTTGGGATTATAGGTCCCCGTGTAAGTATGCCCTTAGTCAGGTGGCGGCTCTTGCCTCCAGCGGTACAGAAGGGGGTCCGAAAGGCGATACAGTATTGATTTTGTTTTTTTTTCTGTTTTTTCTCTTTATTTTTTTTTTTTTTCAGTAGTAAAAAGGGGCCCATTTCTCGACTTATGCGTGTCATCCTTGAACAGGGGTGGCAAAGTTAATCCTCTCTGTACGACCAGAGTTGATATTGAATTTTCTAGAGGACGACGTATATGAAAAAGAACAAAAGAACTAAACAAAACCGACAGAAAAGACACAAAATTCAGTCAGGTCAGATCCAAGTCTGTTTACATTAGATCTGATCTGATCTCCCATCAGAATGGATAAAGGATAAGATATCTTATCCGAATTCTATTTATTTATTTATTATACTACTCTTTAATTTATTTCGAGATAGAGATCTGATCATGTAGTTATTAATTTATTATTTTATTTTATTTATTTACTTATGGTTTATTTTTATTTATTTATTATTGTTTACTTTCTATTCTGAACTATTTTATTTATTTATTTATTTATTTTTATTATACTATTATTGAATCCCCAATGAAAGTTGTTACAACCATTAATACTGTAATAAATGACCACTCCAAGACACCACACTAATTTTGTGGACTGACATAACTCCCATATACTAAAGACCACGAAAAATATGAAGATAAACCACAATGAAGAATAGACTGAAACTTTCACAACCTTGGTGATTACTCGAGTTATCTCCCAACCGTACGAGATAGTCACCTATATTTCTGGATATAGGCGCCTTTCTCCACGAAGCAGGCGATGTTGAGTACAACCTCATTATCAGACACTTTTTGATGAAACTATTCCTTCCACCATGAAATTATTAATTCAATTAAATTACATTGCGGGTACTACTGATCCTCTGCGATCCACCTTTATTGTTGGACTTCACCGGTACTACCTAAAGGCTGTGTTGTAACAAGATGTCGTTTTGCCTCCTGCACCAAGTAAATGAGTAATCTGCCTCTTTATTTATTTATTAATGTATTATACTATTATTTAATTTATTTCGCAATAAAGATCCAATCATTTAGTTTTTTATTTATTTACTTGTACATTTTAATTACAGTATTAATAATTTGTATTTATGTGCTTATGGTTTATTTTAACTTATTCATCAATTTATTTACTATTATTTACTTTCTATTTATTATTATTTACTTATTTATTTGTCTATTTCAAGACAAGAGATTTGATCAGCTCAGAGCCATCAGGGCCGAGGTTCCACTAGCAGATAGGATTGGATGAAGCGCCTGATTTTCAGACTGTGTTTTATCAAATGTTATGCAAAGATTGATAGTCGATGATTGATGATTGATGATTGATGATGATGATGACGATCATGGTGCTTGTTCGCATTATCAGGAGCGTTGAGCAGGAGAAGAAGGAAGAGGCGAGCGAGGAGAGGGGACGGGCTCGCATTATCAGGAGGGCTGAGCAGGAGAAGAAGGAAGAAGAGAGCGAGGAGAGGGAGGTGATAATGGTGCCGGTTTCTCATTATCAGGAGGGTTGAGCAGGAGAAGAAGGAAGAGGAGAGCGAGGAGAGGGAGGAGGAGGTACGAAGATTTCTTTCCAGGTCAGCGTGTCTCGGACGATAACAATAGGACACACAGACTGATGACATGACACTTAGGCAGATAAGGGAATGATGGATATCAGTCAAAACACAAAAACTCATCAAAGACGCAAGAATCACATTACCATGACCGGAGCCCCCTGCAACCCTCCCCCTGCTCAACCCCAT